CAAAAGGTTGCAAGAGTTCAAACAAAATGAGAAACATGAATGGAAAATCCAAAATCCACAAAGTTCTAAGCTGAACTAATACCCTGGAAAAGTGCTTTAGTTGCAGATTAAAGATTTAGCAAGCAGAACCAACAGTGATATGCACCTTAAATGTATTATAGCCTATTTTGATTAGATATCAATATATACTTGAGCGTTAAATTATGCTTTGACTCAGAAACTTAATTTTTAATTGATTTTTTCTATAGGAGCTACATAATAGTTAATAATAATAGTTAGCCGATATCCAGTCGTTAAGAGTATAATAAAGTCATTCAAGCAAGAACTTATTTACCACCGGCTACAACTGTAGTTACATAGAAATATCTTTTCAACTAAAAGATACGATAGATTGTAGAGAAAGCGACAGATGCCGAATAGATTGCTGACAGAACGGCATTTCAACTACCTCACTCACTCCCCACCCACAGCTCCTCTTCGAACCACGCACCACAAGGTGAGACAACCACCTGGACATCCATCGGACAGCCAACAGGTCCACAAGAGACCCCAAATTTAATAAAATAAACCTCATTTTCAAATCAAATACATATTATTAATTAACTAAATTGTTAACACATCGACAACTAAACACAAGCTTGTTTATAAGGCAAATAGTCTTTTGCAGTCAATAAACAAATAAACACATATACAATCAGAAAAAAGTTCTCTTTGAAGAACATATTATTACCAATTAAAAACTTCTCATTGTATAACTATACTGTTCTGTTTGACATTTGTTGCATCTGTGCAATTCAATCAGTTGAAGTTCCAAAAAAAAGCAAACTTCACACAACATGCAAAGCCATTAAAACAATTAGCCAAATGCACTGCATGCCGAACCAGCTATTCGGCTGCTCGGCTGTTCAGCTGGGAGCACATAAAACATATCCATAACGTGGCCGAGCAGCTGGCAACTGAAACTGGCTAATATGCCAAATGGACAGCCCCACGGCAACGGCAACAGGAACGATAACAAATGGGTTAAAGGGAAAGCACACAAAATGTTTTTATCACTCATACGCCGCATGTGCCACGGCAACAAATGCGTCCCCAGAGCGAAGTGAACGCTAGAACACAGGGGCTGGCTGGGAGGGAGGGGGGCAAACAAAACGCCTACGTTAATTACACTGCAGCGGCAGCAGCAGCGACTGCAACAACTATTGAAGCCGCAAGTGTAATCTAAGCTAAATATGCTTCAGTGTGTCTGTGTGTGTGTGTGTGTCTGTGTAATTGAAAATGACTCATTTGAAAATAAAGCAAATGAAATGAAAACGCAAACACACACACACACAAATACACTCACTCAAACACACACAACAAAAGTAACCTTACTCTTTTTTTTTATGCATCTCCAAACACAAAGTTTCACAATCTTCTTGCGTTTTAATTTTATTAGACCTGCGTCAGAGCGGCGGCATTTCGGCGGAGGGAGGGTTAGTTGCCGGTCAGCTCTAAGTGCACTAAAATAGAAATGGGTGACATAAAAACCACCTGCAAACGCTGACAAAAAAGCAGCAGACATCGCAGAGTGAATCATAATGAAGCAAAGGTTGAAAGTTTTCAACTATAACGAACTGGCAATACCCTACAATTCCACATGAGAGCAGATTGAAAAGATATCTAGTTAAGGTATCTTAAAAGCTAGTCAAATATTGTTTAGTCTCTATATATTAAACTATTTCGCTTTTTAAACAAACTTATTTACAGGTGAATGTGAATTCAAATGAATGGAAAATAGGTGAAAATGTACGAGAAGCTTGGCATCAGCAGCTAGCTGTCAACTTTGTAGATTCATGTGTACGATTTGTGAAGTTCTTTATAAAATAAATATGTGGAACGAAGCTAAGAACTTTAATAGAGTTGCAAATCGCAAACTATTTTAATAAATTAAAAAAATAAAAAACAAACCGAAAACTAATTTAAAAAAAAGCAAAGCAATTGCCAATACCAATTCTAGTATTAACATTTTAAGCTTAATATTTCCGACTTTAATCGTAAGGCTCACTTTTTATGTTAAAAATCATACATATGTACGTATTTCTTTGCCATTGCGAATTCCCCCGAGCGCTTTCTTAGCTATTCCAGCGAAACAAGTTCACACAATTGTGTGGCGAAAATTCCCCAAAACTGCTGACATCATCAGAATGGCAACTTTTAATTATAGCTAAATGAGAGCTGTCCCCTATCTTCTTCTCTTTTGTGCTTAACAATCGATAATCGATTATCGATAGTTCGCATTGCAATGCCACATTGTTGAATCATCAAATGCCACCATGCACAACGCACCCCGCACCGAGCTGGTCTACTTCAACGGAAAGCGAAAATAAAACTCAATTCTATGACGCTTCGCTGGATGACTTGATCGCTCGATCGAAGATCGTATAACCGAGATGCCGGTGCCTGGCAGTCGACGTCGGCGTCGACTCGATTCAGTTTCAATTCAGCGGATGACGAATGCCGAGAGTTATAAAAAGTTATAGAAAAAATAAGCGAAAAAACTAAAACAGTTGACATAATTTCTCTTGTTCTTGTTTTTGCTCAAAACTGATAAGAAAACGCTCTAGAAACACAGTCAACGCGTTAGGTTTTGTTTATGGAACTTGTGGAAATATTTTATCGTATACTTAGTATCTACCCGGGCCTGTCGTTGTTGTTGTTGTTGTTGCTGTTGTTGTTAAATGAACGTGACGGGAGCTACCATTTGTGTGCTGATAAGAATTGCCATTAGTATGTGTGCGCTTGTGTGTGTGTTAATGTTGTTTGAATTCTGGGAATTCACAGTTATTTAAAAGGCCTCTGGTTTTGTGTTTAGAGAATGCCAAGTGCAACTGCCATTGCGAAATCTTTACGACTTTGTATATAGTATAAAATTATATGTACATATGTATATATTGAAAAACAATTATTAGCTAGTTGAGTCTTTTAGATTTCCAAGAAAAAAGTACAAAGAAACTATTTGTCTAAGACTACAACGTTAAAGTAATTGAGATTGTTCTAATTAACTGGAATTTCCCAAAATCCCATTGAGTTAAATTTATAAAAAAAAATTTAATAGTTAAATTATGATTCAATTGTATAACAATTTAAACGATTTTCGTAGATTATACATAGAAAAGTGTGATAGATAATAAGTTTTATAGCATCTAAATTCCAACATCTCAAATTATTCCTCTAGTTTTACACCTGTGGGCCCTACTGTAGCTTCTTAACTGAATAGTAGTAACTTTTTCGAGCCTTAGCAAACACTTTTAGAGCTCCATTTCTTTTTTTTTTTCATAAATTGTTGACTTGAATTTGATATTTTAGCTAATGTGCCTTTTCAATTAGTCTAAAATATTGGGTTACCAAGCTGGGGTAGCTTATAAACTATGCATAAATGTTGACTGGAGTGAAGAATATCTGCCCCGAGGTCATTTCTTGAGTGAAAACAGCTTTGACAACGTTTTCAATAAAACTAATGAAAATTGTTTGTATGAAAATACAAAAAGACAGACTATGAGGCTTTCATGTTGCCTTTGTTAATATTTGTTTTCTTTTCTTTAAAATATATATTTTTTTCTTATTTATTTTCTTATTTATCTGCGTCGTGTGTGATTTGAACATTTTGCAGTATTATTTTTGTTATGGCTGCGTTTTACTGCCTTGTGTTTGTGCGTAGTATTTTGTGTTGGATTTGCATTTTGAAGCACGTTCAAAATAACAAAACGCAAAAACAACACAAATCGTTGACGCCAACAGCAACCCCCTGGGAGGAAGAGAGGGGTGTGCAGCGGCAGGGCAACTTTGCTAACAAATTGCTGTTTTGTGCTCATATCCTGGCAAGTCCCGGAAGTTGACGACGCCGCGTGATAAGTGCAAGCGGCAAGACGGGAAAAGAGGAAATGGCTGTCAAAAAAAAATAAATAAAAAATAAGAGGGAATATGTAAATCAAAAATTGCGAACAAACCATAAAAGCGCCGGCCAGGACATAAAACCTGAAAGCCAAAGATGAGCCAAGACGAAGAAGAAGAAGAAGCAGGAGCCGCCATGGACGTCAGCAGCTTTTTTTTTTTTTGGTTATCTTCTCTCTCTTTCTCTCACGATTGTTTTGCACGTTTTGTGTTTTTACAACTTTTACTTTGTTACCGAAATAAAACAAAGGCGGTCGCCCTTAGGGGGTTGTTGTTGTTGTTGTTGCTGGTATTTGCCCAGGCAGGTTAACGATGTCTGTTAGGTGAGACAAGTGCACTAGAGAGAGCGAGAGGGAGAAGGGGCGGGCAATTGAGAGAGCCGCAGCAACAACTACAAAGTCGAGGAGGGTGCAATGACTGCAACTTTTCGTGTGCGCGTGTATGTGTGTGTTTGTAAAGGAGAAAGTTCCGTTGAATGTGCCCCACTCCCCAACACCCCCTCGAGCCATAACTCCAAAACCAACTGCATAGTAATTTTAGCGAGGGTTGCGAACAGAACAGACAAAGTATACAAAAGTGCTAAAAAAGAATAAGAGAACCAGCAGAAGAGGAGGAAAAAGAGAAACGGCAGCGGGAGAGGGAGAAGTACGTGACACCGAAAATTCGCGTCAAATATGTACATTGCCCTCACAAAAGGGTTTAACCTTGGACTTCAGCAAAAAAAAAAAATGATATGGGAGGAGGGTGCAGCTAATCAGTCGCTGCCTGTCACGCGGCTCGACTTGTCGCCGGGCGGCGGGAAGGGGGGAGCGCTTCGGTTGCTGCACTCATTCGTGCAAGGCACAACCATAACATGAGGCTGACTAACAAGCTCGTGATAATGCAAAAACGGAAACAGAATTCGACAAAAAACACAACCTAAAATGTTTGCAGAAAATATGCACCAAAAAATTTAAGATAAAAATGACGAATTTGTTCTTAAGAAAATATATATAACATACATAGATTTAAACTAAAAATAAAGAAAATCCTACTGTTGTTCTTGTTGGTATTGTAATTGTACTAACCTCCAAAGTGCTGAGCTGATTAACCCACTGGTATGCCTAGAAACAAATGCAAATCGTACAGACATATCAGACAAATGAGAGAGACAGAGACAGAGTTGTAGTTGAAGAAGAATAGCGCACCATTCAACATAATACATAAAAATGAAATAAGTATAGAGAAAATAAAAAACAAAACTAGTTTGATCTACTTTAGTAATCAGTAATTGGCATACGTGATAATCAAAAGGTTTGCTTATGCTTAAATACACTTTAAAAAGATAATAAAAATAAATCAAGAACTGTTAGAGGGGTTGCCCAGCTCACACACACACACAAAAGCAAAACTGGCAAAAAATCAGCTGATTTACCAACACTCAGCTCCAATTTTAAAGCTAAAAACAACCGCTATAAAATTTGCTGTTAAATTGTGAGCGCAAACGTATGTGTGTGTGGCTCTCACTGTTTGCAACTCTCTCCATCTCTCTATCGCTCGCCATGTCTTATTCTTGACGCTTGGCATTTGAGCAAAAAGAAACAACTAAAAGCTGTTCAACTTTAATCGCACAAGAGTTTAATAAAAGCCGCTATGAAAATTCTCCGCACACACACATGCACGCACATAGACAAAAGCTGACGGCTGTGGCTCATTTAATTTTTCACACAAACAAGCAACAATAACAACAACAGCAACAACTACAAAAGCAGGGTAATAAATTTTATTAAAACGAAATTCGGCAAAAATGTTTTGCTTTGCTGTTGCTTTTGTTGTTGTTGTTGTTGTTTCGGCAGACATTGAACTTTATTATGGCCGCTTTTTTCAGCAAATTTCTGTGTGTGGGCGCAGTACGACGCAAGAGCGTAGCGAAGAAAAATACAATAAAATAAAAATAAAAACACATACAATTGAGAGCGACACACGCACGCACAGAGGACACAAGAACAATATACACATAAATAGTTGGGCTAGAATTTGTTATTAATTATTCCCATTTTTTTTTTTGGGAAAGGGGAAAGAACAAAGAGTAGAATAGATTGAGAGCCTACTTAAAATTATGGCCTTTGGGCAATTGCTTGTATTTACTTTGTTTTGTATTTGACAGCTGCTGCGGCTGGAGCGCTACGACGTTGACGGAGACGATGACGGCGGCGGCGGCGACGACGACGTTGATGGCGTTTGCTTTTTGCCGCTGCTTCTTCACTTTTCTATTGCACACACACACGCGCGCAAATTCGCAAGAGCATACGCACACAGCTGCACAAAGCTTTCTGCTGTTTACAAACTTTTGCGACGTTTTCAAGTGCGCCCCGAGACGTGGACGTAGACGGCGACGTTAGCAGCGACGTAAGCAGAGAGAGAGAGTGCGAGAGAGAGCGCGTGATTGCGTTGTCGGAGCGACAGGCAACGTAAGCTTTAACTATTTTTCTTGACTTTGCTTCTTTTCCTTTATTTTTTGTTTTTGGTTTTTGATGTGTTTAAAAAATATGTATGTATGTATTTTTTGCTTGCTTTTGCTCACTGCCTTTGCTGCGGCGGCTTTTTCCTTTTTTTATTTTTGCAAAAACGCTTTAATAACTTTCTATTGCTATTTTTATATTTTTTAATGCCGTTTCACAAACTTACATACGCACACATACATATATATATATACAATGACAGACAGAGACGAACGCCGACGAAGGCAATGTAGAGGAAACAATGAAAAAACCGCACATACGATAATATTTCACTACCTTACTGTTATAATTTATAATTTTTGCAATGATTAATATAGTAATTGTTGCTGCTCTCTTGCTGTTGACTTTGCTGTAGTTTTAGTTGTTGTTGTTGTTGACGTTGAGGATGATGACGAGACGACGTCAGCTTTAAGTTAAGCACACGCAATATACACACATATACACATGCACATATAGAAAGAGAGACGAATAGAGACGAGAAACTGTATGCACAAACACAGTTAGCTAGCTCTAGTTGTGTTGTTGTTGTTTCTGCTGTTGTCGTCGGCGCGTACACGTAGCAAAATTTTGCGAGCTTTGAACAAACAGAACGAACGAACAAACAGTGAGTGTCCAGCCCAGCTGATTTCAATTTTGTTTGAATTTCTTTGCTTTAAACCACGCGCACAACGAACTGGCCACGACAAAAATTAAAATGAAACTGAACGCAAAGACAGGCGACGACAAACACAATCCAGAAACCGGTGGAGAGCGGTCCATGCGCAGTGCTCAACCAAAAGAGAGCACGAGAGTGTGACAGAGTGAGAGTGTGCGCGCGCCATTCAAGTGCGAGTGAGTGCGCCTCATATAAATGAATGGGCGTCTGTCTGGCAGCGCTGACAGTGAGAGCGGAGCGGCTGAATAAAAAAAATGTAATAGAAAAGCGCCGGTATGCGGCGATGTCTCTGGCGCAAACGGAACTACATACTGGCAGCGCTGCTGCTCACTGTTCGAGGCGATCTCTCTAACCCCCGCTTGTAACAACAAACTCTGTTACCGGAAAAAAGCAATTGTGGCGGGGGTGTTTTTATGCCCTTTTCGTATAGCCGAGAGCGCCAACAAAATCAAAAGAGTGTGAGAGAGTGTGAGGGAGCTGCGTTGACGTCAACGACGCCGTCGTCGTCTGACTCAACCGCAGCGCCACCACCCAAATTCGCACAGTGGAGCAGAAGTCGAGCATATTTGGCAATTATTACTTCATTCATCAATTTTGTTTAGCCGTTCGCTTTTGGCACATTTCGTTTGCCGTTCGCGTGTAAAACGACGTTAATTGCCACTGGCGTCGGCACTGGCGCTGGCGTCACTTCTGTCATGATTTGGAACGAACGGCGCCGCTGCAGCCGTGCTCGCGGCGTCTACTCGGGCTCGCCAAAAAACTCAAAACAAGTGGTTTTTTGGCATTTGGCGAACGCGTGAGAAACAAATTTGAACACTCGGCAGCCCAGCAGCAATTGGCAACTGCAACAGAGACGCCGACGCCGACGTCGCTGTCGCTATCGACGTCAACATCTCTGTAAGTGTTTTCGCATCAGCTGGCGGCTTGGCGCTACGTTTAACGCCGGCGTTGCTGCTAGCGTTGGCTTTGCTGTCTTTTCAGGACTTGACCGTTTTCTATGATGATATATTTTTTATTTTTTTTTTGCCAATTTTCGAGTGCATGTTTGTATTTTTCTTTTGGCTGCCCGTTTGACTTTTTGTATGTTTACAGCTCGTAAACATAAATCATATAAAATATAATGCGCTATTTCTGTTGTTTGCAGACGATAGACACGAATAATAGTTGCAGTCGCCGACAACGTCTCCGCCCGGCGACGTCTCCGCCTTTGGCTAGGTTCAATCATCACGATCATTAAATGGAATTTATTATAGTGGGCAACTACAAATTGGCCATAAAGATAGGCCAAAAATGTTGGCAGTGGGCAAATGTCGAATGGAATTGCAGCATTTGACAGTTGACTTGCCACCTGTGCCTAACTGTTATACTGTCATATGCCACGTCATATAAGAGCTTACATTACGATATCTATCGAAACCTTTACAACTATCGTTTGTTTTACAATTGCGAGCATGTTTTTGTCACTTATTTTTCTTATTTATATTAACTCTTATTAACTATAATTTGTATTTATTTTATAAATGTCAAGACCCTTTTTCAATAGAAAACCAAGAAACACGTCACGATTCGTGCGAATTTCTGCGGATCAGTCGTAAACCTGTTTCTATGCGCATATTAGAAATTCCCATAGCTCAAAAGCGACACATTAGCTTTTAGATTGTTTACCTGAGTTTTAAGTGATTGATGTTTACTATAAATAGACAATAACAATGTATTTTAAGCCAGAATCGGGGAGTTGCCGACAGTTAAGCAATTGAATAATTGCAACAAAAAAATAAAAACAAATAATATTGATTTCGTTTAGTTTTGTGATTTCCCCCAAAAACCGAATAATTGAAACCCAATTGATACACATATGTATTTCTAATGTGATATATTGCTTTAGTCAGCGGTAAAAAGTCATCACAGAAACAAAAACAATGCCCTTGTTATCAATGATAACAGCTTCGGGGTGCACGCAAAATGGAAAAACTTGAAAATTGCAAAGCAAATCAGGAAAATTTGATAAAGATAAAGTAATGCAAATACAAATGATATATAAATAATATGAAAAAAAAGGGACAAACAAAAGCAATTTCCAATGGTAAATAACAAGTTTATAAGGCTTGCATTTTGAGCGCGTTAGCCGAAGCGAAAACACAAGAGAAGAGCAGAAAAAAAATTTCAGTTGATAAAAAGACAACAACAACAACGGATGACAAATTCTATACGCAAATCCAGCAAGAAAATCGCATTGTATGGGCCCGGGCGGACGAGGGGGAAAAAACCAGCAACAGCAAAGCAAAAGCAACGATAATAGCAAAACAAACGACCGACTGACAGCAGACGAGGGAGAGGGCGCGGCAAGCGGAATTTTCAATTGAAAACGAATGCGTATAAATGCGCCCATATGGAAAATACAAGCAAAGGGATGAGGCCATGTGCCTGTGTGCGTGTGTGTGTGTGATGGTATAGGGGTTGGGGGGAGGGCTACACGCAGAAAATTGCGACGTCGCGCCGCCTACGTCACGTTGCTGCTTATCGGCCGCCTTTCGCATGCAATTTTTATGCTGGTGCGACGCCAGCGTCGCAGTTAGAGTTTGTCCTCAGGGTGTAAATGCGTTAAAATAATCAGCGAGGCGCGCTGCCGACGCAGCTGTGCCACCCCCGGCTCTGCGTTTTGACTTTGCTCTGTTTGCTTAGCTGCTGGTAGAGGCCGTAGGCAGCGACGTCAACGTCAACGCAGCATCTTTGGCTGTTTGTACAACTGTTACGCAAAGCGACTGTTGGACTGTTGCTTTGCACTCACTCGCACAGTTGGCATTTTATGTTTGCCCAACTTTATCTGTGCTCTCCCACTCACTCACACACATGCAGCTAGACATTCTTTTTTATTCTCTTAGTTTATCTTATGTGCATAACTTTGTTCATTTCGCCTCATTTCATTTCGTTTACAGGTTGTCAAGAAATTAAATGTTCATTATTAGTTTTCCTTTGCTTTTGGTTCGTCCCCCATCGACATTCGATTCCTTATCAGTTATGTTTGCGCTCTTGCTCGCTCGTTCTCTTTCTCTCTCTCACTGGTTACTCTCTCACACTTCTTTTGACGTCGACGCCAACAGCGCTGCCAGCATCGCCAATTGCTTTGACGACTCATCAATTTGTGCGGCTTCTTTGCCAAAGGCGACTTACGCTGACCATTTGCTGGCTTAACGCGCACAGCCCCTGCACCACGCTGCAAGGCCCGCAGCAGCCCACATATCGGCACACAAATACAGGCACATTCATATAAACAAACATTTATTGCATGTTCCTTGTCAATCGTCGTTTGCTGCTGTTGTTGTTGTTGTTGCTGTTGTTGTCGATGTCGTCGCTCGACGGCGAATTTTATCGCAAAAAGGGAAAATAAATATGTATGTATGTATGTATAATGTGTATCCAAATAAATGAGTAAACATGTGTGTGAGTGTGTGCGTTGATGTGTGCGTGTGTGTGCTGTGTAAATAACCGATTTTTATTAGAGTCACAGATAAAACGGTTAATGACAAACACATTTGTGCAATGTTTTTATGTTATGTTATGATTTCTTTTATTATCCCTCTCCCGCACTTACTTCAGCTCTTTTACTTTTTGTGGGTCAAAGCAAACACGCATTAAAAGGGGGGCGTAGATCAATGAATGTCCGCATTTCGAGCCATTAAATCATCAGGCAAAGCCTTTTGACTTGATAATGGAACATTTATTACATAAAAGTAAATGCCCAGCTACAAACATATATTATCTGTATTATCGGCTTACATATGCCATACATATGTGCATGTGCATGTATTGACTATACTTCTGTATTAATCAGGCTTGCTTTGATATTTATTTATTTTTTTTTGCAAAATCACATTTTTGTTTTATCAAATCGGCTTTAACTGATTTTATCACAAACATCCGCAGTTATTTTCTACGTAGTTTCAACATGAGCTCATTGGATTAGAGCAGTCAGCGCTTCACGTTCCCCAGTCGTGTGCAGGCACAAAGTGCTGCAACACTACTATGAGATACCCTGTAATCAAGCTTAAATTAAGGCTGAATATAATTCAATCAATGCAAAAGTTTAAAGGTAAAGATTTTCATATTATAAATGGTTCTTCTGCTAATCGAATTACCTGTTTAAGTTTTTGCTTTCAATTTTGATTTTAGCTACATTTACAGGGTATCTAAAGAAGCATACAACGCACAAGACTTCCAAATGGAACGGAACTGGGGCTAATGCTTTCACCTGACGTCAGTAGCAGCTATGCCAACGCCGACGTTGCCGTCGCTGCTGACGTCGACGTTGACGTTGACGCCCAACATTTGCATTTAATGCGAAGCAGCAGCAAAAAGCAATTGGCTAAAAATAAATACACGTATGCAAAGTTGTTATCACACATGGGACCTGAAGAAGAAGACGAAGAAGAAGGAGAACAATAGATATGGAAAGAAATGGAGAAGCGACAGGGCACAATATGGAAATCAGTGGAGTTGTTTATCGAAACGATGTTTGGTGTCACAAGATTGTGGGGCATACATAAATATACAAGTATTTAACGGACTGTTACCCTAATATCTGCGAAAATAACAACAGCAACAACAACAACAACAATGGATGATATAAAAGACACATTTTGTGGGCGTTGCGACGCTTATCGATTTTCAGGCTGTTTTCCTGCGTTTTTTTTTAGTTTTTCGAAAATTGTGGTTTAGTATTTGGTATTTAAAATGTAGAAATGCCAGCTTTAGGCAGGCCCAGCGATAAGACAGCGTGAATTGACAGGAAACCCAAAAGTCAGATTATTTTTTGTAGTACGTCAGTTGAATAAATGTATGGCGTGTTACCACTGAGATAAGGATAAGAGGATATACAGTTAGGTTCTTGGAAACGTGTGGAAATAATAAATTGAAAATGAGAATGTAAAGAGAACAACTGTCAAAAACGTTAAAACGAATTCAATCAATTAGATATATAGTATCTATAAAGTTATCGAAATGATCGCGAGTAATCGATAATTATACACTTAACTATATCT